GGGGGGGGGCGGCGGGGGGAAAAAAAACCCCCCCCGGGGGGGGGGGGGTGTTTCTTTTTTTGCCCTGCCATGATCCTGAGAGGGAGGAAAATTTTGCATCCTCTGCGGGAGCAGGTATTGCAGGGCTGGGTTAGCTGCTCCCCCTGCCCAGGACCGGCTCCGTTCCCGTGCCCCCCCCACTCGTGGGCAGTGGGGTCCTGAACTTATCCCGCTGTATTGGGGGGGTCCCAGCCTCGCACCCACCTTTGCGGCGAGTCCGGGCTGCCCAGAAACCCCCTCCGCTCCCGGGAAAGGTGCCGTGGGGACGGGGTAGAACTCTGGACCGATGTTGGGACAGCGATTCCGGGGGACGGGGGGGCTGCCGTGGGGTCAGATGGAGGCACCAGCAGAGTGCTGACACCCCAAAACCCTTCTGTACCCCCTTGAGGAGATGGGATGGGGGGGGGGTGCCCCCGTGGTTCCACCTCGCCATGGGTTGGGGATGCTTTGGGGGGGTCCATCCCCCCTTCCTCAGCTCTGGGGGGGGGGGGATACCGATGCAACGTGAGCAGCTGCTCACCCAGGGTTGCTCCTAACTCAACTTTCCTGCTTGCAGATGGCGTTGACCGAACCTCCACGATTTAGAAGGGCGTCGCGACGGGGACGCTGGCCGGGAGAACAACTGCTGCAGGTCCAGCGGCGAGGTCGGGGGCTTGCAGGGAGCCTCAAGCGATAGCTTGCATCCTTTCTCCTCTCTCTCCTCTCCTCTCTCTTTCTCTCTCTCCTGTTTTAATTTTGTGAATGTGTAGATTGTCCTTGTGAACATATCATTAGACTTGGAATTTGTGTTGTCATTTATTACATCCATGCTAGGGGGGGAAAAGAAGAAAAAAAAAAAAAAGTGGCAAAAAGTCGACGACAACGATGAAAAAGCATGGGGAGGGTGGGGCGGGGGGGGGACGTGGCAGGAGAGTGCTGACAACGGAGGGTTCACCGGAGCACCGTGGGCAAACCCTGTTTCTGGACGAGGATACGAATGAATAGTGAATATCACGCGGGTGTGTGACCAAAAACCCTTTGGGGAGGATTTGCCTGTCCTGCCGGGGGCTTCGGGGCCGGTGGTCCCATCCCTTGAGTTTCGCTGCATTCAGGCACGGACTGGCCTGGAAAGCCCAGATTTAAAAAAAAAAAAAAAAAAAAAAAACAAACAAAAACCAAACCCAAAATTTCCTTTCAGTTTAGCTGAGAGCATCCGCAGTTTCGAGGCAGCGTTGTGCACAGGGCAGCGGAGCCGGAGGGTCGGTGGGCGCCTGCCGGACGCCGGGGTCCGACCCCTGTCCCTGTGCCCCCGGCGTGGGTCGGGGTACGGGGACGTGGCGGGGGGCATCTCGCCTGGCGGAGGGTCCCGGGGGATGTTGGTAAAGTGGGATCGGAGGAGGGATGCTGGGTGAGTTTCTGTGTCTCTTGCCTCGCCTGTGCGGGTACCGGGAAGGTGTTGCATCTGTGGCTTTACACATCTACCCCCCCCCCAGCCTGCCAAAAACCCAGCGATAACGGGCTTTTCCAGCCTCGGGGCGGCCGATGAGGGATGAAGGCTTTTGGGAGGGAGCGTGCAGTTTTATTTAGGCAAATAAAAACCAAAGGGCACCAAAACGCAGCTTCACAGCCCCATTTTCTTGGCATTATACATGTGCCGGAGAGGAGACGTGGATGATGGCAGTGGCTCGGCTGCCCGCTCCCCCCGCTGCTGTGTCGCTTTTTATAACGGGGAGCTAAATTTGGTCCGAGGGCATTAAATAGATAAATCCCACACGGCGCTGCTCAAGCCTGTGCTCAGAGCGAGGTCGGGGCCAGAAAAACCATCGGTGCCCGCAGCGATGCTCGGCGGAGCGGCGGCTTCGCTCCCGCCGGTCCTGATGCTGCTCCGAGTGCTCTGCTGGAATAAGAATAAATTTAAAATTAATTAATGAAGGGAGGTGGCGGGTGGAAGCGGCAGCCACGGAGGTTGCGGCGATATTCCCCAAAAAATGGGCTCGGCCGTGAGCACCGATGGGTAGCAGCGTGTGCCGGGACTGGCCGGAGCAGGGCTGGGGGCGCCAGGGATGGGAGATGTGTGAATCCATTTGCCATGCAGCATTTTTAAGTTGTTTTTCTTAAAAAAAAAACAAAAAACAACCAACCAACCAAAAAAAAGTGCCATATGCAATGTTTTACGTTTGCTGTTCCTTGGTGTCCTGCTTCCCGGCAGGCATGAGATTTGGGGGGGAGGGTGTGCAGGGTGGGGGGGGAGCGGAGAAGGGAAAACCCGAAAGCGAGGGAGGT